AAATTACATGCACTAGATATATTAATGTCCCCATGATTCCTAGACTGGATTTCTCTGTTTAGGGTCAGGAGAGAAAGAAGAGAAACAGCAGGTCTATTAGGACACAGGAGAAGACCTAGCAGAAAACGGGGCCTGCGTTCTTCAGTCCAGCCTCAGTGATACTGAACTGAGAATCATGACCATTAATCAGAAAGTCAGATTCAGAGCTCTTAAGACGAGAGTTTAAAATCTGTAGTTTCCTGCACAGGATCCTTGAAAACATCCAAATGATTACAAAAAAGGAAGTCTGGTGTGGATTTGGTCTTCATGCTTCTCTTCACAGCAGCTGAGGACAACTTGTGTAGATCACATACCTGCTGTACCTTAAGCAAGTTAACCTCAAGTCCTCCTCTACTACCCTGGTCCATAGACCAGCTCTGAACTCTATCTGATTACCAGCACAGCTGCCAAGATAGGAAGAGTCTGGTTTTCCATTTTAGCCTCTATCAGAGGTTTACATGTCATCCCTAAACAAAATAAGACATCCTTCTGGTTTATGCGGATCAACTTTGTGGTTTACAGACGTTCCTCATCCAATGAGGCAACCTCACATTTCTCCACAGACATTAGACAAAAGAGGAACCCATCATTCACTTTAGCCCTGCATCACATGAGCCACAGAGAACTTTCTCTGGCGACTAATGACTGTTCATCAGTGTGATTTCACATAGCAAGAAGGACACCAGGAAAGGAAGCCTCCCAGCCCTGTAATGACTAACAGTGGTCCCACCACCGCAGCTCATCCAGTCTCCTTATTTATGTGGCAGATGGGCTCCTCCCACTTACACATTGAAGACAGGTCCTATCAGAGATCATTTTCTTATTTTAGTTCAAAATGAAACGAGATCGGGTGCAGGTCACTTTTGCAAAATTGAGTGCTTATTAAATTCAGCCATAGCAAAAAGTTGGTTTTCCATTTTTCCAGGCAGAGAGAGGGAAACAACATATTCAGTGTAACATGGATATCCCCAGAACACTCCAAAGAACTGAATGAGTAGGTCATAAAGAATAAAAACCCAGCAAGATCAAAAGGTAACACTGGTCTTGTGTGTTTCTTCCTGTTGCTCTGTCTCTAGAATCTACTTCTGTATCCATGGACCTGTCTGTGCCTTCCTCCATCTTCCTATCCATAGCTTCTCATCCTTTAGCATCTTTATTTTTCTATAAATTATGCATGTATAGGCATCTACCCATCCATCTCTCTATTCCTGCTTTACATTTTCTTTTACAATTCCAGAGCAGGAACATATTGCATGAGGCTGTTCTTGCATCAGTAAGGGTATCAGGGTCCATAATGTAAAGGCCTTACAGGATACACGGAGTGAGACTGAGGAGCGACTGGGATGGCAGCTTAGAGATAAACTGCGTGCATGAGGTCAGTGCAGTGAACTAGGCAACTCATGGCCTAATGGCAGGGAGGGTGAAGCCTACAGGAGGGTGTACAGGTACACCGTCAGAAGAAGGAAGAAGGAGAAGAAAGCAGAGTGAACAGAGCTCCTGGAGACACGGCGGTCGGAAAGAGAGTTTAGAATCCGGCTGAATTGCAAAAATGTCGGCTGGACAAATTGAGCCATTGTTTAATCTCACTTGGGGGTTGTTTTGCAACAAGCCACGAAGGCAAGCTGGAACTCCTCCCAGAGCACCTGCAGTCCAACCCCAAACACTGCAGTGTGGCTTAGTCGTGTTCCCAGAAAGAGGTGATGCGGACGTTGGGCATAAGTTCGGCACACCGGCACACAGGGGCATGTGTGTGCTGCCACTTGGTGTGAGAAACAGGAATGATGGAGTGTTGTTTGCCAGTATCGTTTCACAGCAAGTTATTGCTTAGAGAGAAACTGTGTTGAAAAGAAAAACAAAGAGGAAAAACCCACACATGGAGCCCAAAGTCATTAGCTCAGCACAAGATGCCTGCGTACCTCTTCACCACCCCAGAGAGGGTTTGCGTTTCCATTTATACCTTGCTATCCCAGATGGAAACAACTGAGACCTTCAGCTATTATCTAACTAGGATTAAGGATCTGGCTTCTGCACCGAAGGCCCAATCTAACACTGTTTCCTCTTTGGCTTCAGTTTTCTAAACGCAGCCCATTAAAAGTTGCTTTAATTGGCGTTTTGTTAGAAGGCTGATGCAGACTTACGGAAAATAGCTTGTGAGAGAAGCAGATAAGAACATAAAAGGAAAACACATTCTAATTGCACAAATTCTCTCCTTTCATTGAGGCCTCTTTTCAGAAGCAGTTTTAAAAATAGTGGCTCAATAACTTAGCCTTTGGCAGTCTTTGTCTCTCTGGAAGTCTCTATATTCCTTGAGGGATCACTTTCACTCCTGCTTCTATTCTTCTGCTTGTGTTTTGTGGCCGGGCTTTCTTATTTACCCAGCCAATACTATTGATGATGCATCACATATTTCCCCTTGTTATGCACCATCCCGCATTGTTTGATTCTTTTCGGTTTACTCTTTTCCAAGAATCTACATTTTCATGTTCATCCTTTGAGAACTGTTTATAAATCTTATGTCTGAGAGGGTTCACTACAGTCAACTTTTATTCTTTCCACAGACAGAAAGATCCTCACTGCCTATCTATAGCAGGAAACAAAGGAAAAATATAAATATAATCCTCATCCCCCAAGAGTTTACTGTCTGGTGGGCAAGGCAGATAAACAGAAAATTACAATAACACTTGCTGTATGAAATGTTAAGGATCTATGTGGAGACAAACAGGAAAGCAAAGAAACACAGCCCAGGAGAAGGAAAGGTCTTATAACAAGAACAGAAGTTAATCCTGTTGGGTAGCTCAACTTTCTCAGAGTTAGTCCATTGCCTGTAACTCATTTGCATATACCTTTGCATTATAATCACACCTTCTTTGGAAGCTGCAAAGAAGTGATTGCAACTTTCAAATTGGAATCCGCTGAATTTAGCTCCTGTCTCTTTCTCCAGCTTGATTCTTCTTCCTTGAGCTCTTCCAGTGCTCTGTGCCTGGCTCTTCGATGGACAACACACCTGCTTCTCCGTGTCCTAACCAAGTGGGGTTGGTGGGGAAGAGACCAGGGCTTGACCCACAGGAAGCAAAGGGTCCGCATACGTCACAGTCACCACAGCAACTTCACATTTACTGAGCACCTAGCATAGAGGTACAGAGCATAGCATGGTGTCTCACCTATACTCTTACGGAAGTCTATGAAGCTGGCAGTGTGCTCTTTGTTTTGCAGATGAAAAATTGGGTCCTTGGAGATGCCTGACAGTTAACCAAGGCTGCTCAGCTGGGCAACGACTGAACTATTTCTAATGAGGAATGAAGCATTGGCTGGGAACCTGAGGCAGATGCTGGGTTAACCGAACCTGGAGCCCCCAGAGTCTGACTCAGACAGGGCTCAATTGCAAGTCTTGGTATTTAGCTCAGAACCGCTCCTTCCTGGTTCAACTGCAAGCCTTGCCTGAGAGAGGAGGGAGGAGGGAGGACAGGCAGAGCTGGCAAGTCGCCCCCAGTCCCATCCTGCAGCCAGGAGGACAGCTCAGCCCTCTCTGCTCGCCATGTACACTAATCATGTTTGACATGTTGGAACCACTTAACCTCTCACAGAGGGTCTCCTGGATACAGAGGGCCCGGCAGGTGCGTCCACTCAGGCCTGTGACACAGTCCCGCCTGTACCCTTGCCCCTGTTAAGTTTGTAGGCAGCGCATTGGCTGAAATTCTGAGTCCGCCTTGTTCCAGCCACACAGAACCCCCCGCCCAGGTTCTCAGAGCAGTTTCCTCACAGTGCACAAGGCCAGCTCCACGGCCCATACTGGCTCGAAGCCCGCTGTGTGTACTTACACACTGACAAGTGTGTTGCTGCCCCAAGTCTGAGGCCCTAGGCTCTTTTCAATACCCATGACACATTTTGGTTCTTATTTACACTTTCAGTAAGAGATATTGTGAAGTAGGAAGAAATTGTTCAAAAGGAAAGGGGAGCGGGTAGGTGGATAGGAAGGAAGGGAAAAGAAAATGAGGAAAGAATGGATAAAACGGAAACAAAGGTTGGTAAATAAGGAGGGAAAATGGGGTTGAAAGGTGGGGAGGGGAACAGGATAAAAAGAGGAATCAAGATATTTCATGTAGAGGTCCAAGTTCCCTATGATGAATGCGATCATTGTGCATACCTAAAATGTACCAATAAATTTAATAATAAGAAGAAATAAATAAATAAATGCCCATTAATGCCATCAGTCTCAATGTGTCCAAAGGAAAGTCACACATTCTCCTTCCTGGCTGGCCTCTGGCCACAAACAGACTCATTTCTGAGAGCAGAAAAAGAAGCCTGAGCCCAGCTTCTTGGGGGAAAGCTGACACTTCCCTTGCCACTTGCTGCCTTCTAAGCCTCTCCTAGCCTCTAGCTCTCGTTTCTGTTTTATCCACACCTCTCCTTTTTTTTTTTGTCTTTGTTGAGATGGGGTCTCGCTTGCAGTTCAGGCTGGCCTTGAGCTCACTTTGTAGGCCATTCTGGTCTCAAACTCACAACACTCCTCCTGCCTCAGCCTCCCAAATGCTGGGATTGTAGGCGTGCACCACCACACCCAGCTTATCCACATCTCTTGCTTCATTTTATTACTTACACATTGTGAACCTGACACAGACTAATTGACAGGACCAGGACCTGACACCCTCTAATCTAGAACAGTCCCAACTCTTAACCCATGCAGCATGTGCCCCAGTGATGTGGACCCCAGGAACCTCCACCCTATTCCCATCTTCCCGTATCTCCACCCATACTCCTGCCACCGCCTGCTATCGATGGGCCCACCCAACGGTGGGCCTCCTTGTGCTGTGTTCACCAAGATGCTCAGTCACTGCCCAGCTTTATTTTTTGAGACAGTCTCGTTTCCTAAACAGCTTGGTTGACACCTCGTTGATTTACAATGAGCTGCACATATTTAATGTACATGGTTTGAAAACTTTGTACATATCCACTGTCCCAAAACCATCACCACTGTATCCAAATAGCAGATATGCACATCACCTGCAAACACGGCTTCATATCCTTCATTTCTTGTCGTTCCTGTCGATAAGTGCACAACAGGAAAGCTAGTCTCTACAAATACGTTAAGTTCATGACACAAGACTGTTGACCATAGGCACCATGGCTGACCACGGATCTCTGGAAGTTGTTTTGTGTAACTGAAACGTTATACACTTTTCTTTTCTGCTTGGAAAACTCTTATTCATCCATCAAGTCCAGAGTTTAATTTGCCTCCCCCAGGAAGGCGATATTTGTCCATCCCTTTGAGGGTAATGTGTGTCTTTGCTGTCTACCAGTGACCGTTATTATCCCAGCTTTTTTCCGGATTTTCTATCATCTCTCTCCCTTGGCCTCAGAGTTCCATCATATGGATTCATCAGTGGGGATGTGAACTGAAATCAGAGGCTACTTAGCCAGTTCATTATCTGCAGAGCTGTAAATTGATGGGCCTGGGGGCCCTCGTGGTTTCCGATGTCTCTAATAGATCCTGGTGCTCTTTCTCACTGAGCCAGCTCACAGTCTCACAACCCTTTGTAAAGTGATGCTCCAGGCTACCAGCTTCAATCAATATGAAATGGGATATGAACTTCTGCTCATCAAAAGATTCCGTAAGAACAGCGAGAAGGCAAGTCCCATCACGGGAGAAGATATTTGCAATGGGCGTAACAAAAGATTGGCATTCAGATCTGCCACAGACTGACTGCAAAAAAAAGCAAAAAAATGGCACCTTTGTACTTTGCTTTGTAGGAAGATTTTGAAGGAGAGAAAAGACTAGAGCTTCTTGTGCTCAGGACTTGGCCTTTGTGGACAGACAGAATGGCAGCATGGGAACAAATAACTGTTTGATGTCAACAGCAGCTGTAAGCTGGGGATGTGGCCCCACCTGGACCCTGCCCACCTGCTTTGTTTGTCCTTGAACCAGCTGAGTGCAGGCTCCTGCTGGCCCCTTCTTGTCGGTAAGAGTGGCAGGCAGGGTTCCACCTGATCTGGCTTCTCCTTGCCACTGTGCTTATCAAACATAGATGAGGTCCTTGGAGTCCCGGTTACAAGGGAGCCACGGAAGGGATGAGCTTCTTTATCAAGCCTTGGTGTGAGACATCAGGTGGTTTGACAGTGAGGAAAATCCGCTGGTTCTGCTCATTACAGCAGCAGCGATTTGGGCCGCAACATGGACAGCGCCTGGTGAATGCAGTTGGAAATCATTTGGCCACGTTCCTTTGGGACTGCTGCTCCTTCCGTGGTGAGTTGATTGAACTCTCTTGTTGTTATGCTTCCACGATCTATGAAAATGGCAATATTGTCCCCATACCGGCACCCATGACAAGGGACCAGAATTCTATAATAAAGAGAAAAGAAAGACTGAGATGGGTAGTGTCAGGGTTCTGTCACTTGGCAATCCAGTGCTGCTGGCTTTGCTCTAATGTTCCAAGAGGTGATAAGTGAAATGATGGAACTCTAAGGTTATCGTATATTCATAGCATTGCATGCAACTAGGCACTCAGGCTTTGGTGTCAAGCATCCTATCTTTTGGCTTTGCAGATCCTGAAATTTGGAGCCAGTGCCTTAATCTTTCTGACCTTTAGCTAATTTAATTACAGATTCAGGAGATGGCTACCTCTTCATGTGGTTATATTAGGGTAGAAATGAAATAACGACTACAAAATCTTATCACAGAGCAGACACCTAGGATATACTTACTGAGGATTCCTTTGTCTTTTTCCCATACTACCACCGCTAAAGAAATACATGAAGGAAGGAGAGGAAGGAGGAAGGAAGTAAAAGGGAAGGAAGAAGGAAAAAAGGAAGGAAGGAAGGAAGGAAGGAAGGAAGGAAGGAAGGAAAGTAGTTTGTCTAATGGGGTAGTAAGACACATTATAATTTTTAAGTGCACTTTAAGGAATAATCCACATAAGTAGGCATCCAGGCTTAACTCTTCAAGAGAAAGGCCCTTAGGAAGGGTGGGCTTAGCATATCAGCTTACATATGTCAACTCTCTGGGGCAAAGACAGCTCCACAAGTCTCCGTAGGTCTCCAGTATTCAGTTTGTCAGTTGAAAAGTGATGTAAGCATTCCTGGACAAAATACAACAGGCACTGGGTGAAAAGCTCCTGTCCAGAATGGCCTGCAAAGCAAGCAGACAGCATGGTGCTGGGCATATAACAGATACTCAGAATGAATCAGTAAATGATCGGGCCTTTGAAACTCATTTTATAGATTTATGGCAGGCCAGAGCAGCTAGAAATAGTAATGATAGAAAACAATATGTTACCAGGTGTGGTGGCTCACCCCTGTAATCACAGCACTCGGGAAGCTGAGGCAGGAGGATAGCTGTGAGTTCACGACCAGCCTGGGCCACAAAGTGAGCTCAAGGCCAGCTTGAACTGCATAGCAAGACGCTGTCTCAAAAAGACAAAACAAAACAAACAAACAGCAACAAAAAAAAAAAAACAAGACGTTGCTATATTGCATTTCACTGATGGTGCCAGGTACTTGGAACATTCATTTCCTGCAAACTGAGGCCCAGAGACATTTCCCAGTTTACTAAGTGTAACAGTTAATACACAATGAAATATGAATTTTCTTGTCTCCAAAGATATTTTTAAGGCCATCCCCAGCCAGGATGGATAGGGACAGAGTCTGAATGGGCAGTGAAAGTGAGTGGGTGGGCTATTGTCAGGATTGTCTCTGGTGATGGCACCCTAAGGGTTTGGTGACTGGGAAAGGGGTTGTGATACAGCACCCATGGACAGACACGGAGCACTGGAATCAGGGCCCCTGCATGGGGTGAGGGTGGGGGGGTCAGGGCTGATGCTGGTAGATGACCCCCAGAGACAGGCAGTGCTGGAGAAGAAAGCTATGACAAAGCCCTGGGGTGTAGGGAGACACGGAAGTCAATGCCATAATCACAGCCATAATTAAAAGGGGGGTACTGGGCGGATTATTTACCCTCTTGTGTGAAGGTATGCATTAATCTTCTTAATCTTGTGTCACGCTATCTGAAACCTCTTACACAAGGAGTTTCCTGTGAGGAAGTGCTGCAGTGGGGGTTGCGCCATCCTCACCTGCCAGAAAGGAGTATCATGAATCCCATCCTTGTTAGGATCATGTTGGCAAAATTATATTAGCAGAGATGATTGTCTGGCACCTCAAGGAAGTGATGTTTCAAAAATAGGAACTCATAAGGAGGGAGGTGGGGGGGAAACCCTGACTTGCTTTGGTTCCTGTGGCTATTTGTTCTAAAGATAAGGCCATTCTGGTCCTGAGATGGATGGCATATTTATCCACATTCACTTATAGTGGGCAAGACACCATTTGTAGGTCCTTAATTCATCAGTTCTCACCCCTTCTATCTGTTCCCTAAAATTGCAGTGTCCCTTAGGTTACCATGAAACTTCAGAGTTGAGAGGAATGTAAAGGGTGCCTGGCCCCACTCAGTGTCTGGCCCGTGTTTACCCAAACTTAAACAAAACCACTCAGTGACTCTGGGAACTCCCTCCTGCCACAGCAGGGCTTTTCCAAGTGGTCTGATCACAGCCCCTCCATTTACAAATGTTACCAAGCTCCTCTCCTCACACTACTACCTGTACCCTGAACCCTGAAGTCCACTCAGCCTTCAGTGGGGGGCTGGGCACTGCTTCAGTGGGCTCATGTGGATGCACTAGGACCTTTTCCCAAGTTCTACAGGTTGTTTTTTAAACAAAGCCATTATTAAAAATTAAACTACATAAACTCACGAAAATTGTTTTAAAACAAAGGCAATCAATACTTAAAATTTATGTATGTCTTCTTGTTTTTGCTGTTGTACCACCATCTATGTTCTTTGGGTCAGTTCTATACAATAGAATTGCAGCATCACGGTGGCTAAACTGATCCTGTCTTCCTAACTCCACAAGCCAATGCCCAAAACTGATACCTTCAAATCAGCCATTGTGGGGACAGCTACACCATGGAAGCTGGCAAATGCTATGCAGGAAGGTTAATGCTTGAGCTTTGATTTTTATGCCCTCCAGAAAGGACATAAACCTTTAGGAGCATACCACTGCATCAAACTCACTTCTACCTTTACTTTTTTCTGGATATCTTCCAAGATTTCCCGTCTAGGTTAGATTCATATATGGTGTGATTACACAATATTGAATTCCTGTCATATGTGCCTTCTCTTTTTGGTAATTATATATTAATAGTAAATGACACATTGATTATGTAGATTCCACCTGGTATAGTTTGGGGTTTTTCAAAGGAAACAGTTTAATACAGGACACATATTTTATAAGATTCTTTTATAGTAGTCACCCAAAGAATGATATACAAGAGAGTGCAGGAAATCTTTCCACATACTAACGACTAAAGAATCCAGCTGAGGGCCTGGATCCCATGGTAAAGTCCTGCATGAGTCCCGCTAGAGACCTAGAGCCCATAACAATGCCTCCCTTGAGACAACTGGAGGCCTAGAGCCCATGACAGTGTCTCATGCAGGCCTGTTTCATGGATCTAAGCTAGAAAGGCCCAAAGGTCAGTGGTGCAATCTAGAAAGTCTGTACCAGCGGGAGGAAGGATCTGTGGTAAGAGGCTGAGGAATCTGCACTGGTGCTAGAAAGTGATGCTCAGAATAAGAACCAGAGCTCCCCTGGAAGGTACCACAGCCATCCTCAGCAACAGCGAGGTCCCGAGCTACTCCGATGATGAGGAAAGACGAGTTCCCATCAGGAAAGCCAACACAGCAAGCTTCTCCAGGAGACCAGCAGTGCACCATCTTCCCCTCCAGAGCCAGGAAGTGATGCTCAAAGTGAGGACCAGAGTTCCCACAAATTGAACTGTAGCCGTTCTCAGCAACAATGAGGTCCTGAGCTCCTTTGACGATGAGAATAGCCAAGTTCATCAAGAAAGCCAGCGTGACAAGCTCCTCCAGGAGAACCAACAGCTCCCTACAGTTTCCCTAACAGCTTCCAATAGATTGTTTCTCCGGTTCTGCCTCTTGTGCTGCTGGTAACAGTCCTCAGGTGGCCTCCCACACCCAGCACCACACTGGTTCAGTTCATTTGGGTGTTACCAGTTGAACACCAGTTGTCAGTCCACCACACCACTTCTATGAAAGCAGAATTCTTGTTGAGTTTTGTATCACATTGTGATATTCCAGCAACAGAATAATTCTAACCTCATGAGATGCTCTCAATAGATAACTATAGAGTGAATATTAAATTATCCAAAATATTTAACTTGTGTTGAAATGTTCATCCCCTTTAAGAGAGAATGATATCTTAAGATATGAAAGCGAATTCCTCCCGGGAAGTAACTGGTTTTCTGAGGGGAGTAAAATACCCATAGCTATTTGAGACTCTAGGGAGTCCTGAGGACTTTGTGTAGCAGGAGCTGAAACACAAAATCTGTGATGAAAGAGTAGAGAAATGGGCTGCCCAGTGGCATGGGGCTAGGAGGACTAGAGTGAGAGAGAACCCCTGGCCAGAGGGTATAACAGAAACTGCGGGTGTCTCTCTTGAAGCTTTATTGAAATGTGGTAAATGATTTTGACACCAATCTTCTTTCCTAAATAACCCTTAGTAAGTCCATACATACACAGATGCTATGTATGTGTACTCATGACTATAAACTGAAGGAAGGGCTACATTTTGCACTAAAGCAACACTATATTGGATAGAGGCAGAATGCATGTTATGGCAAAAAAATCATTACCTGAAATGGTTAAATATATATAAGAGTTGTGAATGAGTGGTGATCATGCTAAGTATATGTGGAAATCTTAGTTTTTGGATTTTCAGTTCATGAGGTATATAAAACTTCGATTGGCAAGCTCTTTTTTCCTTCTTTCTTTTTCTTCATATCTTAATATCCCCAAGAGAATAGCAAATATCCATTTTAGTGGTGGTCTTATTTCTAAATCTAGAGAAGAGAACATGCTTCATTTGTGGCTGAAAGTTCCCTTTGATGTAGAGAAAAGAGAAAATGTGGACCCAGCCACACCTGCCTTCAAATGCATTGGCTAAAAAATCCGTTATATGATGGGTTCCGAAACACTGCGGAGAGAGGGGGTGAGTTCCTGAGTTCCACAGTACAGTGGGGTAACTAGGGTCACAATACCCTACTATGGATTTTACAAAGAATTAAGAAAAATCTCAATAACTCCAAACATAAACATGATAAGGAAATGGAAAAGCTAATTGTCCTGATTTTTATCAGTACACATTGTTACATACGTATTGAAATATCATACTAAACCTCATA